TGGCTAAAGCTAAGTGATTGAGCATTGATGCCTCAGTGATGACAGGGTCTGAGTCCACATGGGGATGGATGGATGGGATGGGGAAGCAGCAGATGGGAGGCACTGGCGGATGTGGAGTCTGACTATGTGCTGAGCCCTGAGGTGTTTTTCAGGCTCACTTCAAAAAACTTACATATTACATAGGCCAATGGTCCCATTTGTTTTCCAGGGAGCTCTGAGTCTTCTTGAGGGCAGAGGTCCTGTGTAAATGGCCACAGAGATTTCCTCACAGGAAAGAATATACCCTATCATTACTAAGGCTGACTGGACCAAACATTGACAAGGCCCACTGTGATACTATGAGCCCAGCAGGGGAACCCTGCCTCCTAGAGAGGAGAACAGAGATTCCCAGAGCCAAGTCAGTTGTAAGGGATCATCTTAACGCTCTTCCCCTTATCTTCCATGACACCTGCCTTCCCTCCTCACTTAGTATAGAGGTACCAGGGGTGCTGAGGTTTGCTTCTGTTTCAGAATCATTGGTAAGTCCCAGAATATACAGCTCCAGAGAGCTCCAGCCCTCCAAACCATGGTCCTTTGAAACAACTGATTTAGGTTTGGATATGAAGGTCTGCTTTTCTCCTCTAATCCCGATAGAGGAGGCATTCAAAGAAGCAAGCAGAACGCAGTGCTAGATTGTCAACCTTCAGGAGCCGTGAGAGGACCTGCAGCATGCATCTGCTCACACATCCAGGTCGGCCAGGCACAACGTTGAACTATTACCAATCCCCTTTCCTCAAGGCGGGGCCGCAGCCACCCCGGTTCAGATGATGGCGCTACTGCGATCTTCACCTGAGTTCAAAACCTAATTCCGTGCCTTCCCTCAGCCCCTTCCATCTCCCAGGCTGGAAGCAGCATCAAATTCCTTCCAGTCTTACAGGATCAAAAGCTGCTGCTTCCGGTTTGTTCCCAGGCAAGATAATAACAGCAAGAGGAAAAAGAATCTGAGCGAGGAGTGAACACATAGGGGAAAAAAACACCCACCGATGCTCAGGCTGAGGATGTAGCTCAGGGGTACAGCACTGGTTTAGTTGCATCAGGCCTGGAGCTTGACCACCCCTTCCCCAGCGATGAAGGAAAAAAAAAAAAGTCCTAAATATTTGAACCAAAGTGTTACCCTGTATTTTATGAGTTTAAAAAGCTGAAAAGAAAAAAAAAAAAAGCAACATCTAAGAAACAAAACAAAATAATACAGGAAACCATGGAGTCGGCTGTTTCTGGGAGCAGCCCCTCTAAATCTCTGAGTAATAAAGGCCCGGCAGGAATATCCTGACCCGGCTGGTGGGACTCTGGCCGCTTCTGGCGCACATTAAAAACACATTACCCTGTTTAATAGACTTATGAGCTGAAATGGATGTGTCGGGCTCTTATAAATATGAAGAAGCCTGCTAACCAAGCAAATGTTAAATTTTGCATAAGGAGACAGTACCCTAACTCTTCTGTATACCTCCAGCAGAGCTGCAGGCAGCCTTTCCAAAGCTCCGGTGAATTAAAAGCCATTCCATTCTATTACTGTCAGGAGAAGACTCCCCAGGCGCTCTCTCCCTGTCTCTCTCTCTGTCTGTCTCTCTTTCTGTCTCTCTCTCTCTGTCTGTCTCTGTCTCTGTCTTTGTCTCTGTCTCTCTGTCTCTCTCTCTCTCTCTCTCCCTTTCTCCTTCCTTCCATCCCTCCCTCTCTCCCTCCCTCCCTCTCTCCCTCCCTCCTACCTGACTTTTAAGGCCTTTTTTTGTTTTTCCAAATAGGTTTCTCTGTGTAGCCCTGGCTGTCATGAAACTCATTCAGTAGACCAAGCTGGCCTTGAATTCACAGATATGCCTGCCTGCCTCTTCCTGTCAAGTGCAGGGATTAAAGGCATGAGCCAACACTTCCCCACACACCCTCTCTTTTAAAGAAGTCTGGGTTACAGTCCAGAAGGGATGAAGGGGGAAAAAAACCCTCTCTTGACCTAAAGAGGATGATAATTCAAAATTGTTGACAGGAGACACCGAAGCACAGACGTGCAAGACTTCAGACACATTGGAGTCACAGAAAATGTCACCGTCCTCTGCCTTCCAAAAGCACATAGGTTGGGTACCACAACAAAGCCAAAGACATGGGGAGTGGAGAGGGGCATAGGAGTGAGAGGGAGATAAAACAGGGTCGGGGGAGTAACCAGAGTGTATGACCTACGTGTATGAAACTGTCAAAGAACTCAATGCAACAGCCACATTATGAAAAAGCTCTGTGTATTTAAGTGGCTTCGCTGCTCATATACAGACCCCAGATACATATATAAATACATACATGCATGCATGCATACATACAACTATTCACACGTGTCAAAATGTTCTCTGCCACATCCTTGATAACAACAGAACACTAGAATTAATCTAAATTAATTAAGTAATCTAATCTAAACTAAAATCGAACACTAGAATTAATCATGCAAGGTCAGTAACAAGAACGAGATGAACTTGGAGTGATCCATACAATAACAAATTCTGACCAAGTTCAAAGTCACCAGACACAGAGCAATGTCCCAAGCATGGCTACAGCACGGCACAACCATCCTCAAGGGACACGCAAGACCAGCACTTGTGTCCCTGGTAGGGGATTAAACTACAAGTGATTTGGGTTGTAGGCAAAAATCACTCTTTCTTTTTAACCCTTGCCATGACATTTGAATTGGGGGAAAGAAAAATGGTGGGTGGGTAGGTAGATGGGGAGGTGAGAGAGAAATACTAGAGGGAGAGAGGGAGGGAGGGAGGGAGGAAAGAAGGGAAGGAGGGAGGGAGGGAGGGAGAGAAAGAGAGAGAGAGAGAGAGAGAGAGAGAGAGAGAGAGAGAGAGAGAGAGAGAATATGATATAGTTGAAAATCACTACATCCCCATATATTCCAGGCTTTGAGAATAGCTGATGTTATAAGCATTAGGCACGGACAGCCATCGATAGCAAAGTGTCTAATAGATGCTTTTCCCAGCTTGGCTGCTGCAGCCACCCGGGGCTGCTGAACTTCCCTCCCAAGGCATGGCTTCTCTGGCTTCTGCCCCTGCTGAACCAATTAAAGGACATGATAGCAGTGCTGTGATTGTTTTTTCAGAGGCTGATGTTTGTCACTAAATGCCCATTAGGCTGGTCTCCTTGCTCCAGTTACAGCAAGCAAGCTAAAGGACAAATCCAGATGGCACAAAGAGTGTCCCTTCAGGCTTGGTCTGCAGGAGGCCAGTCAGCAAATGAGCATTATCAGGTCTGAGAGTCCCCAGATGCCTGACACCCACAGGTGCACCCAGGTGAGAAGAGATAGCTGAGAGCAAAATCTTCAAGAGCTGCATCCGGGCCTGGATCGGAACGGTTAGCAACAGCCACAGGGATTGCTTGGCAACCTTGTAACAGGCTGTGTCTGGTGTTCAGCTGCAGGGGAGAGGACCGAAGTGCCCTCTACACAACCCCACCACTGAACACTAGGTTGCCTGAGAAAAGCCGAAATCTCACAAAGTTCCATGGGAAAGGCCCACTGAGGGGCTAGAGAGATAACCTAGCCTATAAAGTGTTTGCCTTGCAACCGTGAGGTCCTGAGTTCAAGCCCCGTAACCTACAGGAAAAAAAAAAGCTGGACATGGTGGTATATGCTTGCAATCCCAATTTGGGGAGATGGAGAGAGGCAAGATTCTAGGATTCTCTGGCCAGCCTGCACAGTCAACTTGGCAAGTTCCAGTTCAGAAAGAGGATCACCCTCAGGTCTCAAAACAAAGGGTTCCTGAGGACCGCATCCTCAGTTCCTGAAGAGTGTGTGTGTGTGTGTGTGTGTGTGTGCCTGTCTGTCATAGAGGAAAGACTACCTGTTTCTCTCTGCAGTCCCCTTGCCACTGAGACCTCTGTGATGCAGTTTTGTCTCACTTGAGAGCCTGGGGAAAGGCTGTCCTCTGACTTCCCTTACTCATGCATCCATATTCCGGTGTGTGTGTGTCTGTGTGTCTGCCAGTTTTCACCTTGTTTGACTGACAGACACCACTACAAACTACCCCTGAACCCCCAATTCCTTTGTCTTAAAAGACAAGGAAGTAGAGCCAGGCCAATTTTTCTACCCTACACCCACTCTGAGTTAAGGCTGTAACATCCTCACAAGGCCGAACATGAGTTGAGCAAAGAAAACTGCTAGTGAGAATCCCCAGAGAGACCTGTGTACCTGTGTTGTCAGGATGAAAAAGTGACAAGTTTGATGGAAGATAGCCCCTGCCTACCATCTTGTGAGAGATGAGAAGCAAAGCCTCAGTCGGTATAGGCTGAGTAGAATGAGATGCATTAGAGGCGGCAGAGGGCAGCTGTGATATCTGACCCTCTCTTGCTTGAGATCCTATTAGATGAATTTTACTTCAGCTGGGAAGTTGTGGGCGGCAGAGAGGATCCACCAGAGAGTAGGCCGCCAAGGTTTTTCTTGGTTAATGTGCTCAGAGAAGACTCTGACCGGAGACCACTGAGCTCAGGCCACACAGGGCAGAATCCAAGCACATACCGGACCTCTCTGAGATTTAAGAAGTGTTAGCTGATTCCTCTAGAGAGACCCTTCCCTCTGAAGTCAGCAGAAAAGATGCATTTGTTGACTTTAACGTTTTCCAGCTCCACACAGACATCGCAAGAGACAGATGCATGCTCTGACTCCCCAGATGAATCAGAAAGTCAATGATCACACAAACAAAGAGGGCACTCGGGGCTCATCGGGGATGGGGAGACGGAGGGACCAAAGGTCATCCTTTCTAATCTAAATCAGCCGCATCCAATTCAGGGCGATCCCTGTCCATTCACCAAGTTGTGTGATGGGCGAGAGTCCACATGAACAAATGAGAGAAAGGACATGGGCAGAGGCCACCATGAGCAGTGGGGCTAGCAGCCTGCAAGTGCAGAGAGCCTGGCATTCCCTTCTCTCCTACCACCAGCCCTGGGTCTGACCCTCTGGCCCAGCTCAGCAGCAGCAGCAGAAAGCTTGCCTGAAAGAAGCCCAGTGCTACCTATCCGGATGGAAAGTTCTCTCTCGGGGAAGAGCAGCGCGGTGGGGTCCCCGTGATCAGACTTCTTCATCAAGGCAGGGTCCAAGTTCAGCGCCAGGGCCATCTGGGGGTCTTCGGAAGCACTCTGAAACAAGAAGCAGAAGTGTCACTGCAGCCCTTCCATGACCTTGGGACTCTCCATCCTCGGGGCCCACAGATGTCTGGGCAAAGGACCCATGTCCTGCTAAGAGTTCCAGGGCCAAGTAACTGATGTGACCCAGCTCTCACAGGTTGGACCATCAGGAAGATGACAAGCTTTGGGGAAACACAGGTTGTCACTGATCTCCTGACTGACAACTCCTCCACACGCATTCCGTCACTGTTGGATACCCGGTGGAATGGGCTTAGACTCTGACCTACGAAAGTAAGCCTAGGGAGCCATTCCTCCATCCATCCCACATGTAGCTGCCTTTGCTGGTCACTGTGACACAACACCAGACAAACAGCCTGAGGGAGGAAAAGCTAATTTTGCTATTTCAGATAATTCAGTCTATAGAAGGTGGACAGGGCATGGCAGAGCAATGAGCATGGCATTCCCAGCAGCCGGGAAGCAAAGAAAAGAAACAACCCAGTACATCTCCAGCTTTCTCTTTTTTTCCTTCACTTATCTCACCCAGTCCCTGAGCTGAGAAGATGGTCCTGCCCACAAACAGAACGGATCTTTACACCCCAGTTCATCTTCTCTCAAAAATGCCCTCACAGATGCTTCGACAGGTAAAGCCGCACCAATATACTGGGTTACTGTGAATCCAGTCAACGGAGAAGGCCAACCACCGCAAGGTCACCGCTTGTCAACACTCAGGTACCTCACGTTAAGCCACAGTGCTCCACTCCTGGCACACAAAAGGAACGTGTACTCCTCACAAAACGAGATGCGTTTTGTCCTCTGAAAGTCCTCAAGGTCATGGTCTCAACATCACCCAAATGTCTAAGTTCAAAGTCTCTTCTGACACCTAAGGTGCCTTCACACCTCATAGCTTTGAAGTCTTGGGAAATCAAAATGCAAGGCACATGCCCTCGCCGCTATACAAGAGCACAGAGTAAGGATTTCAAGTTCAAAATGGAGGAATGGGAGAATAGTTGGGGCAGACTGAACCCCAGCAGGGAAAACATTAGAGCCCGCAGCTCAACGTCTAGTGTCCAGGGCACACAGTGTCCTAATGTGAGCTTCAGTAGGCTTGGATTCCCCAGACCCCTATGGCCAAGCCATCTGCACCCCCACCTCCACCATGCAATTTTTCTCTTGGGCTAGCCCCACTTACTGCTTTGCCTTCCCTCTGCAGATGGCGCACAGCCCATATTCCTGACATCCCCAGCATCCTACAGTCTTTGAAGCTCAGGCCTGACTCTCACAGATTCACACACATCAGCTTCCCAGGAGATCCTCATGGTAAGTCCATTATCTATACGCAGGTCTTGCATTCCATCTGCCTGCTCGACCAACACTCTGTGGATAATTTCCAAGTCTGCTACCATGTTAAACAACCAACCTTGACCATAGCTAAAAGTGGCCTATGCCCGTATGTGCCTGGCCAAGCTATAGGTACCTGGGTGGCAGAATCTGAGAAAACAATTCCCCAGATAGCCCTGTGCAAGCGAGGAAACCCTGATGCTCGCTGTTTATAAGAAAACTCCTTCAGAGGGTTTGCAGGTTTGTACTTTAAGAGTGTTCTATGAGCAGGGTCTGGCCAATATCCAGTTGTCTCAGTGCAAAGCATCTGGTGTCTCTTTAACATGACTAATCCCTTTGCAAACTACGCCCCTCTTGCCCACGATGTACTCCTGTTCTAGTTAAACTTCACGTTTTCACATCCTTCTGCTCTGCTTTTCTGCTCATGATTCTCACTATAAACTTGGCTAAAAGCAGCAGACAATAACTATACACACACACACACACACACACACGAATGTTTCCTAGTCTGGGAATATTTTCTGCCAAGTTAATTATTCCTTATTTTCTCATTATTCTTAATCTCTCTCTCTCTCTCTCTCTCTCTCTCTCTCTCTCTCTCTCTCTCTCTCTGTGTGTGTGTGTGTGTGTGTTCACACGTGCATGCGTGTGTAAATGCACGCACATCCACAGAGGCCAGAGGCATCAGATACCCAGGGAGCTGGAGATACAAGTATTTGTGCATGGGTGCTGAGAACCAAACTCAGGTCCTCTTCAAGAGTAATGTATGTGCTCCTAACCACTGAGCCATCTTTCCAGCCCCAATTTGAATTTAGCCTCCCACAAAGTTTTAGGACATCAATAAAATGTAGACAAATGTTCTCTGCTGGGTTGTAATATGAAGAATCCAACTCTCCGTAGAGTGCTTCTCCCCAGCAGGAACTCGATGAACTCATTCTTTACTGTCTGAGCTCCTTGTGGAATTCTGGTCTCCTGAGTTTCCAGGAGAATCACCCATTAAGCTCCGCCTACAGCTTCTAGGGCATCCACAGCTCACATCTCTAAATGCTTTCAAACTGTTCCCACACACCCGTTCCAAAGGCTCGAGAGATGTGTAATCAGGGTTAGTCACACCAATCTCCCAGTCCTGGTATCAATTTTCTGCACTTGTTACTTCTGTGTCGCCATAACCAAGACACCCTGCAGAAGACCGAAGGGGGAGGAAGAATTTATTTGTCTCCCAGTTTCTGAGGCTTTCAGTCCACCAGAGTGAGGAGGGCATAGCAGTGGACAGCAGGTCACAGAACAACCGTCCCAGGGGCCACGAAAGGTAAACAAACTAGGACTTTTCTATAAAATAATTTCAGAAAAAGTGTACCAGGCTGTATCTTACACACACACACACACACACACACACACACACACACACACCTGTTTGTTTTCTTACAGCCATGATGATCAAGGACAAAAAAAAAAAAGAAAACCTAAAGATTCAGACATTTTATTTGATCATTTCTTTCCAATTAAATATTAAGCATAAACACTCCAGGGTGTCTCACGTCTTATTTCGGTTTGTTTGTTTTCTCATGTGGTTCTAGTGTCTTTATTCTTTGTTCATCAAACCTTCTGTGGAGTACTCTAATAAGAGTAAGACGCCCCATCTATCCTGTTTGAAAAGTAGGGGAAGCCCCCATTCCTGCTCAGCCAGCCTCACACAGCCCTCAGCTTCTATGCTGAATCCTGGAATCCCCCCTCTGTCACACTGAGTGACATCTGGCTCTTGGCATCATGGTCAAGACTGGCACCACAGATGGGCAGAGTCCTGGGTGGAGGAGAGACTGAGCGAGCCGGTCCACACCTCTGCAGAAGGCCCCACTCAGCCCGTCTCGGGTGACAGCTGGTGTCTGTGTGATGAGCCGTGGGCCACAGAGTCTCAGCTCTTTGTTTGTGTGCTTTAATTATTCCTAATTCTCCAGCTCCCGCTGGTATCTGACAGATCACCGCCGCAGAAAGGGTGACGGCTGGCTTCTCTTGACGAAGAACTGGGAAGAAGATAGAGGTGGGGGGAATAACTTCATTACGGCGGGGGTGGGAGGGGGGGAATGCCACTGCCTTCATGTGCACCAGGCTGCTCATACAACTGAAGCCCCTCAGCAAGGCACAACCCAGAGTCAGTCCGGCTGATTTAGGACAGTGGTAGTTAACAGGGTGATTTTAGTCTCCCCTCCCCAGACCTCAGAACACAGAGAAATAAGCAACTTTGGCTGTTCCAGAGGGCGTGGGTGGTTCTTCTGGTGTTCCTCAATACCCTATCATGTAGGGGACAGCCTCAGAGCAGACGACAATAAATGACAACATCCCTAATGTGGAGAAGCCTCGCTCTTAAAAGATTCAGGCTGCCTGGGCTCTCCACGAGATAACAAATTAACACTGGGAACTCTGAGCTCTTGTTACTACCAAGAAAAGAATTCTGTCACTTTCTCTGGGATGACTGCTGCCTGCCTGCCTGCCCTCACGACTTAATACATTTTTAATTAAGCATCAGCTGTCTACCGGCAATGCAGCTCCTCGAGATATAAAAGAGCCAATCCCCATAGCTGCACGAACTGCCCCTTCTCCTTTGAGAGACCGACAAGGCAATCGATGACCGATTGAACAATTGCAGAACCCGGTGGTCACGATGCTTGGAAGAAGGGGATTGGCAGGGTGGCTCAGTGGGTAGGGTATTTTCTGTGGAAGCTTAAGAAGCTGACTTTGCATCCCGAACATCCATATAAGAGCCAGGCGTGTTGCTGGGGCCTGTGACCCAGCCCTGGGGAAGCTGGGACAAATGGATGCCTGGAGCCCATTGGTCCACCAGCTTAGAGAAGTGGGGAGTCCCAGCTTCGGTGAAGAGTCCCTGTTTGAGAAGACAATGCAGAGAATGATGGAGAAAGACATCAGACAACAGCCTCACCCACACATAGATATACGTGTGCCACATAAAGATACGAGAAAATACATAAGCAAACGGAGACAACTGCATCATGGCCAATGGCTGCAGCCACGCTTGCTCCTGGCTTTGTGCTGGGTATGTTAAGAGATTGGCGTAAGCTTCGCCATTATTAAACAGGGAGGTGTGTGTTTTCCTTGGGTTACTGTGGAGACTGCCCTCTTTGTGAAGATGGCATTAAAGAAAAAGAAAACAAATGGCAACCTCTTAGCCCTCAGACCCCTCGGCTACTCCATCACCCCAGATGCCGGTGGCTGTATTGCTTCCTACCCACATTTAGGGAGCAGAGGGATGTATAACAGGAAGATCTTACCCCAGCTGCACTCAGAAGCTGCCCTTTTGGGCCAGAAAGATGGCTTAGAAGGTGCAAGCCCGAAGACCTGTGTGCCCTCTAGACTCCACAGTAGAGAGAGGGAACGAACTCCTGAAAGTTTCTCCATGCATTTTCCTTTGCATGTGCATCCCTGTGCGCTCTCTCTCTCTCTCTCTCTCTCTCTCTCTCTCTCTCTCTCTCTCTCTCTCTC